AGGTCCTTACGAAAGACGATTCAAATATAGAGCTATCATATGACCTGGCCCCATGGCATGCTTATAGATTGAAAAGGTAGTAACATGGGCAAAACTTGCAAAATTCTGGTACATAAATTGTGGCTAAACTTTCCTGGTTCACAAGTTATGTTTGTACAATTTGTTCACAAAGTTCTTTCAAATGGACAAAACTTCTCTTGTTCACAAGTGTAGTTGGATTGACAAAAATTGGTATGTGTTGTTGAATTATTCACAAGTTTTTATAAGACTTTGTACCATCTATATTAATAAATTGTTCACAAACTTTATTTTGGATGCACATTAATTTGCATGTGTTGTTCAATTACTCACACTATTTGCCCTAATTATACAATTTATGGTCCAATTTTGATGTTCATTGAGCTTACGTATATCCCCATCCCAGACTAATAATGTCTAGTATTGAAGATAATTATTCAAAATATTCGATACTTCATAGCTTTAATCTCTTAACCAAACTTAGAATTAAGACACAATAACCAATTGACAAAAAAGAAAATTAAATTTTATTATAAGGCAAATATATATAGTTAAATAGAAATACATAAACTTTGAACAAGCTTGATTATTTTTACAATAGAGGGATCATGGATTGTGAGTGGATAGGTATTGATGGTATCAACCCATGGTCCAATAAGTTACAAATGCCTCAATCCGTGGATAGGGTGGAGCATATGTCAAAGGTTCCTTATGCTAGCGCAGATGGTAGCATTATGTATGTTATGGTGTGCACACATCCATATATTGCTCAATTTGCAAGTATAGTAAACATGCACATGACAAATCTAAGAATAAGGCATTGGAAAGTTGCTAAATTGATATTGAGATATCTCTAAGGAACTTCTGATATTGGACTAACCTTTCAAAAAAGTGAAGGTATTTCAGTTCTCGATTATGTTGATTCTAACTATATAGGGATCTCGATAGAAGAAGGTCCACAACTAGATATATTTTTACTCTCATTGGCAGTGTTGTTAGTTGAAAATCGTTTTTAATGTCGATTGTCGCTTTGTCTACAACAGAGGCAAAATATATGGTAGCAATGGAGGTAGTGAAAGAAGTTATTCGGTTGAAAGGTTTGGTGGCAGAATTGAGTTTGGTTCAGCTGGAATCATTTGATTAAAATCAAAGATTTCATGAGTGCACCAAACACATTAATGTCAAATTCAATTGCTTTCGAGATATCGTTGAAGAGGGAGCTATCAAGGACGATAAAGTTATCACAGATGATCAGACATGTTGACCAAGATAGTTCTGCTTGTCAACATTGCACACAATAAGGACTTGGCGGGAGTATGCATCAATTGATGCAACTCTTGGAGAACAAGTCCTAGGTCGAGCTAGTGTGTTCAACAAAGATTTGATTTTTCTTATTTCTTACAACGGGATTGCCAGTAAGCTTAGAAGTTTTGGCCGGAGTTGTTCATACGCATGCTCAAAACGCAAACCAATGTGGAGATTGAAAGAGTTGGTTTGGTCCTTGTGGGGTTAAATCCAATGGAAGAAATTTCATGTACTACTTTACTTGGCTAGGAATTGAATTAAACTTGGAGAGCAAGCTAAAATTTGTGGAAGACAAATTTTGTATTTTTTTTTCTTTGTGCTTGGAGCCCAAGTTTGGCCACCTATAGGAGGATGGTCATTCTTCATTGTTAAAAACATCCTAAACTCGTAGCAAAATACATTAGAAGAGTAGAGAATTAGTAGAATAATTCTCTTAGATGTATTTGGGATCTCTCCCCTTTTCGTTGTTAATATACAGACAGTTGTTCTCTGGTGAACGTAGAATCATTATGATATGAACCACGTTAAATATTATTGTTCTTTATTTTCACGTTTCCGCTAACAATAGTTACGGACACAACATCCCTTTATTTTATTAACTTACTACTCCTTATTTGAAAAAAGGATATTGTAGACGTTGAAATTTTGTGGGACTCTACAAGATGCGTTCAATTCGAGTTGGGACTCTACAAGGTGTATTCAATTCCAATTAGAATTCTTGGAGGCTACTCAACCCTAAACCCTACATCATGCCTATATAAAGGGTACTAAATTCCCTTAAAAGGCATCTCAAAAATTCCACCACAAATTCATGGAATATTCATAAAGAGATCAAAATCTCAAATATTTCGCAAATTCATGGAATATCTTTAGATCAAATCCAAATCATCTTAATTTCAGAAATACACCACTAACGGCCCTCAAATTATGAAGATCAAGTCCAAATCATCCTAGTTTGAGAAATACGTCACTAACGGCCCTCGAATTATGAAGATCAAGTCCAAATCATCCAAGTTTGAGAAATACGCTACTAACGGCCCTCGAATCATGGATAAATCTTATGAGAGAAGAATCAAGGGATCAACAACAGAGACGTATCCAGGATTTCGACAAGATGGGTGCACAATTACGAAAAAATGCATCTTAAATATAAATTTGATCGGTTTGACTTTTAGGTTCTTAATATGAAACATCAAATTTGTAAAATTATAGGTCCAAAATATATAATACTACTAGTTTTAATTTTTAATATACAGATTTGATTTAATTATATAAAAAATTTATAGTGCTAAATTTTTTCGAAATATTCAATGTAAAACACTTAAAAATTTTGAAAGCTTAAAGGAAAAAAACAAAAGAAAATTTAGTTGAAACGCCAAAGTGTAACCGATAACCACTTGGAGAGGTGTTACTCAAAAAGACAAGATAGATATAAGATTTAAATTTCTATTCTCACTTAGAGAGGTGCACCCAACTATCATCGTTTTATTATATGATACTTTGAACGTGGGTTCACACATCTATATTTAAATATTTTTAAAATAATATAACACTACTATATATATATATATATATATAAAATCTAGAGAGGGGAGCATGGGTTCACGTGAACCCACGGCAGCCCCTCTAGATACGCCCCTGATCAACAGACTTGTACCCACAATATTTATCAATAAAATTATATTTCTTCATATTTTATTTGTGATTATAAATTATTTTATTTCACTTTAAAATTTGTTGCAAACAGATATATCCATTTATCTTTATTGAAACTATTCAAGTCTATTTTTTTAGAGTTAATATCTCAAAAGGTCAGTCAACTCTGAGAATTTATCTAGTAAAGTCACTAAACTTTGTTTTGTATCAATAAAATCACTCAACTTAGACATTTATATCAATAAAATCGCTCAACTTAGATACTTATATCAATAAAATCACTCAACTAAAGTTATTATTAATTTTTTTTATATGACAAAATAATTTCTTTTATGTTATGTAAATATATAGACTCCACAGATAAATACAATTGAATTCGTAATTTGAAATTTCAAATAAAAAAATCTCGATTTTTATGTCTGATCACTAAGGGTCTCTTGGTCTTGATTTTAGAAGCAAAGCAAATCAGTGTGTGTGGTTTTGGCAGTATAGATTAATGTTTGGTTGGGCAGAGATTATATTCTGTTTAGTCAATTTTCCAGTTTTTTTTTTATATAAATTACTTACTTTAGAGAAATATTGAAATATTTGGACAGACATTTAAAAAGAAAATACTAAATATTTTTGAACTTTGGCCAAACATAACAGTTGTCATATTAACATCGGTAAAAAAAAAATTACTTAATCAAATATCATCCAATATTTTATTTTAAAAAAAAAGAACTTTCTAAAATAAGTAGATAAATTGAATGTCATCATCAAATTAACATTAATTAATAGAGTATTAGTTGCGGTGAACAGAGTTGGCATAGTTTCAGTTTGAGTAAAATTTAGATTTTTAAATTTTTTTTTATTATGAATATGATTTTATTTGTTTGTGGAGTCTACATTTATATGATACAAAAAATTATTTTGATATGTTAATTTTTTTAGAGAAAATAAATTTTATTTTTGATACAAAAGTCTAAGTTGAGTGATTTTTGTGATACAAATCAAAGTTTAATGACTTTGTTAGATAAATTCTCAAAGTTGAGTGATTAACTCATATTTTTGTGGTTGATAAAGTCACATGGAAACTATTTGATCTTAGTTGCCTCATTTTATCCTCAAATGACCATCACTTAATTATTTAGAAGGATAATTTTTATATGTTATTATTTGACTTAAATGTTTGAGGTACTGATTAGTTTGTTAGATTTTATGTGAATGGAACAGTGTAACTTTGTACCCTACACGGATAATTGTGAGGGATGTTTGAGATGTAGTGGGGTGGTTTGATGGCTGTAGTAATACTACATTGTAAGATAACAGAAGTAAAAAATGTAGCAATCAGTTCAGTTGTGGATGTAGTACAAGAGCCTAGCAGGCTCTCTATGCCATAATAATACAGCAATAAAAGGCTAAATAAATTGGCTGGGCAAGTACTGTCGGAATGGGATATGAAGGTCCTTACGAAATATAGAGCTGTCAAATGACCTGGCCCCAGCATGCTTATAGATTGAAAAGGTATAGTAAAAGATGGGCAATTTGTTGAATTTTGGTACATAAATCTTGTCACAAAATTTGCCTGGTTCACAAGTTATGTTTGATAGGGCATAACTTTGTACAATTTGTTCACAAAGTTCTTTCAAATGGACAAAACTTCTCTTGTTCACAAGTTTGTGTACAAATTATTCAAAAGTCTAGTTGGATTGACAAAATTTGAATTATTCACAAGTTTTTATAAGACTTTGTACCATCTATATTCACAAACTTTATTTTGGATACACATTAATTTGCATGTGTTGTTCAATTACTCACACTATTTGCCCTAATTATACAATTTATGGTCCAATTTTGATGTTCATTGAGCTTACGTATATCCCCATCCCAGACTACTAATGAGTATCGAAGACATATATAATTATTCAAAATATTCGATACTTCCTAGCTTTAATCTCTTCTCAAAGTCCTAAAAATTGACAAAACTTGGTTATGCTGTTTTCACTTAACCAAACTTAGAATTAAGACACAATAACCAATTGACAAAAAAAAAGAAAATTAAATTTTATTATAAGGCAAATGTATATAGTAAAATAGAAATACATCAACTTTGAACAAGCTTGGATCATGGAATTGTGAGTGGATAGGCATTGATGGTATCAGCCCATGGTCCAATAAGAGCCTCACCCAAAATAGGCCTTATACATTCCATGACCACACTATTGCATTTAGGCCCAGTTCCCATTCCCAATTGCCATACTTTGTCACCTTCTTTCACTCTTTCCTTGCCCTCTAAGTAAGCTAATTCATACCACAATGAAGCTGATGACTGATTCCCAAACCTATGTAATGTCATCAATGCTGCCTCCATATCTCTATCTCCAAGCTTCAACCTCTTTGCAGTCTCTCTCACAACCGATTTCCCCGTCGCCGGGAAACAGAAATGTTGAAATGCTCTTCTGAAATTAGGAATGTAAATTTCTTTACTTCTTTTATACATCAATACAGATCTAACAAACCTTAGTTTCTCTATTAGGGGGAGGAATCTCCCCCCTAGAACGGGCATGTGGGTCTGGAGAGTATCTCCAGCGACTTGCAACACATCCCCGTTCAGCCTCACTCCAGTGATTCCACTGGAGTCCTCATCACGATAAGCAGAGTAATAACCCTTGTCATCAAATGCTCCTTGTGTCCTGAGTGTCCAAAGCAATTTATACTTAGCATGCCTTTTCGCCTCTTTCTTGTTACTCAACAAGATCGCGGCACCCCCAACGCGGAAAATACAGTTCAAGATCATGAAAGGACGTTCTCTCCCGGGGTACCACCCCGTAGATAAGATCTCAGTGCTGAGAATGACCGCGTTGGAGTTGTCATGGGTGCACATAATGTTTCTAGCCATGTCCACAGCTAGTGAGTTAGCGCTACAACCCATCCCACTTATGGTGTAGCTCTTCACCCCTTCTTTCAAAGCGTATTTGTTAACAATAATGGAAGAAAGAGAAGGATTGGGGCAAAAGCCACTACAGTTAACAATAAGTATATCAATATCTTGAGGAGAAATGTTTGTTTTGGACAAGAGATTTTCAAAAACAGAGAAAAGGATCATGTGAACTTCATTGATAGCTTCTTTATGACCAGATTTTGGAGGCATATAAAAAAGACCTGGTGGGAAATAAGTCTGCTCCCCCAAGCCTGAAAGATGAAGAATCTTAGATATGAAAGAGACACTTTTATCATCAAAGAAATCAAGCATTCTTGCATTCTCAATGTAGGCGGTAAAAGGAACTCTCAAGCAGTTTGGTGGCTTAAAACATGTAAAATCAACAACATAAACAGGACATGTTTTTGAAATATAGGCTAAGGAAATGAAGTATATAAGTAGAACAGAAAAAGGTACGATATGAAACATAGGTTGAAGATTTTGCAAAATAATACAACTCTCCAAGGTAAAGAAAAGCAAAAGAACCAACACTTTGAGTATCTCCATCAAAGTTGAAGAAACTTGTTTCCATAAGAGCTTGTAGGAATCTAAAATTATTGGTTTTTTCTCCATGAGAAAAATTAAGGAATTGATGAAGACAAAGGACAATAATGTTTACTTTTTGCAAAGTAGAGTTGTTGATGTTTATGGCTTTTTGATGAAGTTATAAATGCTCATCTTTATCACATTATTATTATTATTATTATTGATTTATTGGTCATACAAGTCAATACAGCAGAATTGCTATTTGTACGGTTGGCAGTTATAAAACATAAAAGCTTAAACAGTTGATTGTTTTGAAAATGCGGAATGACCTGAAAGACCCTTATACTTGGCTCCATTTGTTACCTAGACCCTTCTACTCACGACTTTGCCAACTGAACACTTAAAGTTATTAAAACACACTATTTTAAACCTCTTTGACCGTTGACTAAGTTTATGTGGTGTTTTTTTGCTGAATCAGATCAAGAGAGTGGTTACACACGTTTAAAAGCAAGTGAAGACAACTATTTAATTTTTTTTAAAAAAAGAATTAAAAGAAAAATATAACAATTAAAAAAGAACCCCTTTCCCAATATGATGTACAGTTCTTCTTCTTCCTCATAATTTCACCCAACCCCCACTATCACCACACACACATCTTCTTCAATCTCTTCAAATACTCTTACCCACAATTCTTCCTCTTTCTCTTCTCATATGCTACCTATCATTTGAGAATTCTATAATGATCGGAAAAAAGATATTTATTTAGATTTGGGTAAAAGAGAGGGGGAAAAAAGAGGTTCTAAGTTGTGAAATAGATGCGGATTTTAGATGGGATTTTGAAAGACATGTTTGAGATTATTTTTAAATGTAAGACAATTTTATTGAGGGCATTTTTGAAGAGTTTTCTATAATGACCCATTTTTGGTCTGCTTCTCTTCTTTCTCATCCTCCATTTGAGTCACTTTATTTCTCACCACCATTAAAATAACAAAATTTATAATCAAAAGCATAACAAAGCTTTGCTTATATCTAATTCCTCTTCAATGTAAAAAAATCACTAGGAAAGAAAAAAATAATGAATGATTAGTAGCAAAATAGATGAAAAATATGGGAAGAAGGAAAAAATGTAAAGAAATCAAGAAAGAAAGGATTTTGGAGATTAGTTTGAGATTTCTTTTTAAAAAATATTATTTGTAATTAAAAGATGATGTGGCAATATATTTCTGATGTGGATAGTGAGGTGTTATCCACATCAACGCGATTGGGAGACACACATGATCAGAGGGGTTTAAAATACTGTGTTTTAATAACTTTAAATGTTTAATTGGCAATATCTTGAGTAGAAGGCTCCAGGTGACAAACGGAGCCAAGTACAAGGGTCTCCCAGGTCATTCCGCCTTTTGAAAATACACAAACTCTTGCCTATTGGACATACCATGTGCTACAAATCAAAATAATTCATACATATATTTGCTCAAAAGATTGCCTATGGCATGACGACGATATTGATGAGTCAATTGCCACGAATTAATTCCCTTATCATCCAAATTATAAAATCAAGTAAAATATTTTAATATTTTTGTGATGATAAAATAATTCAAGTATGTCTGTATCTTGTACTTATAACATATCTATTGAATATTGATTTTCATGATTAACAAACGCAGCGGATATGGTTATCTCCTATGGAAGGACCAGAACTTGATAGATACACCTAATTCCAACAAATATAGGAGTTAATAAATATTTTGTATTTTCACATTACATGATTTAACAGCTGCCTCAAATAATCAAGATTCTTGATGGTCGATGACTCGATGTGGAGTTTAAATTTTAAAAAAAGCGGATGAAGTAGGAAGCGCTCATTGTTCATGGAGCACTCGATCAATGGAAGGCTAAAAATCATAATTTGAGTTCAATGTATAGAAAAGCGTGTGACTTTTTTCAATGTTTTATTTATTCTCTAGGTCTAGGAAAATTATTCCTTCTATATTCATTTCTAATCTAATTTATTCCTATTCATTTTTTTTAATTGATCAAGAAGCATTATTATGAGGCAGGGGCGGCTCAAACCCGATGGTGGCCTAAGGCAAAACTCAAACTAGAGGCCTTAAAAAAAAATTATAAATATTTTTATTTTAAATCTATTTTTCTATTTCTTTTTTAGATGCAAAGTTGTTAATAATTTTTGTGTAGTCAATCTCTTCTAGTAATTCTTTTTCAATCGATAATATAGCCAAACCACTTAATCTTTCTTGAGACATTGTCGATCTTAAATAAGATTTTATTATTTTTAATTTTCCTAAACCTCTTTCAGTTGAGGCGACTATTACGAGAATTGTTAACATTATTCGATAAGCAATGTAAGCATTTGGAAAAGAATAAAGTCTTTTTATTTGATTGAGTATCTCAATTAGAGTATTGTCTTCTACTTGTATGATTTTCCTTAACACTTTTAACTCAGAAAATAAGTCTAAACCGTCAATATCGGAGTGAGTATTATGTTTTAAGGAACATTCAAGATTAAGACAATATTTTTTTTAAATTCTCATCATC